CCTGTCAAAATACTATTTCTCAAATAAGTGTAAAACCTTTTCAATAACAGTAATCATATCTTGTAAGAATGAGATCACCTCAAATAATCGTTTCAGTATCATATCCAGTAAAAGACTTGTCCCACATGCAAGTTCAAAACATTCGGTAACACATTTACTTAATAAACCATGTGAAAATCATTCAAGTTATAAAATATCAATTGTGGTAAGATTACTACTCACAGTACTTGTGTTGAAATACCAAGCTCGTCACTCGAATGGTTCGTATGAAATCCTTTGATCAAACTATAAATACATTCATAACAATTTCATGTTAACTCCTTCATTTAGGTAATTCATACTACATTAAAAACCCAGCCCTAGAGGTTTCACGAATGATTCAAAATCTGTTCAATCACCTAAATAGTGCTTTAATCACACAAGATAACCTCTTCTTGATTAATCCTCATTGTAAAAGATCGACATAACCTTACTGTCCAATTACTTTTGTTTCATATATGCCAATATACAAAATCTCTTAGTCCAATAATTAAATGCACTCCATTAATTTCTGGAAATTTAACAAATTTCTTTGTTTCTTTAACTCTTGATTCTCTACTTCTGAACTCCCATCTATAGTCATGGAATATTCAACTTCAATCTTTAAACATAGTTAAGAAGCTTACCTTCTTCTTCTACTCCTTTCTTTAACTAATTAACAAATCTTGATTTTCTCCCTTATTTGCTTCTTCACTGGAGATCGATGATAGAGCTCTTGATTTATTTTTATTTTTTTCCTTCTTTTAACTTCTACTGCGTCAAAATGGGAGAAGGAAGGGTTGAAAAGTTTCAACAGCAACTTGGATCCCTTTGCACGTGAGCTGGGCTAAATCCCACTCCCCATTTCCTTTCTTTTATTTTCCTTTTTAAAAAAAACAAATTCATTTTGGTCAAAACAACACCCAATTAGCTTATTTCTTTTTGGAACAAGAGCTAAATGACATATATGCCCTTATTTTTAATATAGGGTATTGCAATTCGAGATTATCTTTTTTTCCTAAATGTTAATCAATTTTCTTTTAGAGTCCAATATAAATTTATGTGTTTATAACATCTCTAATAGGACTTGCAATAAATCTTTGATCTATATTTTAATTACTGCATATATAATTTGCTTTTGGTATTATTATGATACTTTACCATGCATAATAATCAATATGTTCCAGGTTTATATTGTTATTTTATTTATATGCTACTAACTTATAACTCTAAATTAAATACTAAGCAATATGATAGCATGCTAGTTAGAATACTCGTAAGTATTTTCTTGTCATACATTTTGTGTGTCATAAAGAATAATAATATTGTATTAAATACAACTTGAAATTATTACTAAACTTTGACGTTAATTGAAACTAGTTATAAATACTTAAAACAAGTAGAAAATCTATTAAATTTACCGTTTCAATGCTACATTAATGTTCATGCATATAATATATTTTAGGATCCGGCTCCTCTCCATTTTCTTTGTCTCCATTTTTCCCAAGTTCTAGCCTCGATTAATGACATGTGGCATAGGTTAGATTTAATGGGTAAGATTTAATTAATTAAAATATATCTCTAACCATGGTTTAGATAATAAATATATTATTATATCAATTAAAAATAGTCCTATTATTTCTCCCCTTTTCTCCTTATTCCCTCCAAGTCCGGTTGTTTCTCCCTTTTCTCCCTTTTCCCTCCAAAATTTTCTTTGTTGTCATCTAATTAATTAATTCAAGTTCTGTGATGGTATGGCTCTTCATCTTTATGCTTCCCGCCTATTAATTTCAACCCTTTCTTCCTTCTCCTCCCACCTTCTTCGTCATCCTCCGGTTGCACCAGAACATTAATTTAACACTATCATGGAAAGGAAGGGGGTAAGTGACGAGATCATTTCACTCATTTTGAGAAAATTATATTCGATGAAAAATGTACACCATTAGGTTAGATATGGACCTATATAAAATACTCATAAAAATTATGTACTACGATTTCAAATTACTCGAGAGTTAAAATTTCACAATACATAATATATAAAAGAGAAGTTCAATTATCAAAATGAACCGATCAATAAATAGCCTTACTTGAAATCTTAATTATATGAAAGAATACATCATTTTGTGACTCAATTATCAAAATTGAACAATATTTGAGTACTTCAATTCAAAAGTTCTAAATTCTCATACGCATAATACAAACTATCTAATGTCATTTAGATGATTCCGATTTTGTATGCCACATCCAAAGCATCATAGTTGGACATCAACCTCACGTAGAAATTATTTGTTCCATTAGGCAAACTAAGATAACAAACATATTAGTTTAGCCATGGTGAAAAGTAAATCATACAATTCAAGTACTTCAAATAAGTACTCATCCAAGAGCATATGCATATTTTACAAAGAGAGATTTTAAAAAAATTCCTAAGTGACCAATTTTAAATTGGTGCAACTTTCCATATGAACAAATCTTTTTGAAACTAAATTTTTCTCTCGTACCCCAGATACTACACCAATGATCTTAGACGAAGATCCAAACACTAACTAAAGAAACCAAAGAAGTTGCCTCCTTCAAAGACAAGTTGCTACAGCCGCACTCCACTAGAGTGACAAAAGGATTATTCATTGTCGACTAAATGAATCAATAGATACAAACATATCTTTATCCACCGTGTTAATGCCAAAAAATTCAATAACAATTACGCTAACAGTCACCAAATCCCTTGTGTAAATCCCAACCATGACAATCCCAATTGGCTGACCACATTAAGGAATACTCGAAATTTACAAACCAACTACAACATTAGTTGGCAGAAAACTTTACCCTTCAACCTATGGTCCATATGGCTAACAAGGAACAACAATACTGAAAAATTTATAAATATTAATCTAACTTTCACCACAAATAAGAGTTGTCGCTATCTTTATCTGTAAAGAAATCGAGGCTAAAAGTAGTAGAGAACAACTAAAGTGTCGCGATTCATGATATTGACGATCCACCTTGAGAGTAATTGTTTAAGTCATGAAATGAAATATCCTGCAAGTAATAAATAAAGTGATATATAATAGTAGTTAATGAGTAATGCAAATGAAATAATTCATATAAAAGTATTACTTATAAAATTATACTAACTCTTAGGAGTTGAGATAGACTTCCGTGAGATGATACTTGAGAGAGTTCTGAAGAATGCCATGTGAAAAATTTCCATCTCCCAATACTTATCATGTAAATAAAAAAGTAGGACTTAACATAAAACCACATAAATAAGTAAAATACATTTATTATGATATACCGTAGTCATCGTGAAAGCTGAGAATGATGGACATGGTGTTTGAAGACCTGTAAGGCGACTTACATCATGTTGCATTGTTTGTGATGGAGGTGATTGAATCTTGCTCTTCTTTTTGGCCTTTTCCAGAAAACTCTTTGGACGACTATTGGAAAGACTAGTTGGTTGCTTCTTCTTTAATATTGTCACCTTTGTGACATTTAGACTATCAACAAATATTGTCTCATCATGAATAACTTCATTTGGAACTGATGGGTTTTCATGAGATTCGTGTTTATTTTTTATTTCCTTCGACTTCACAATTATCTCATTGGCATACTTCACAATCAATTCATATCCTTCTTTGAACTTAGAAGCTTCACTCGCAATTTGGACAAAGGTTTTGCATAAATGCATGTACCTTGTACTAACTTCAGCTTTTGGATCACTTCCCTTTGTAAAATCTTTAATCTCCATTTCAATCAAGTTAGTAGCATTTTGTGTCCACCTTTTTAATATATAATGGTCGAAAATCTTATCCTTGACATTTAAAGTGTTCAAAATCTTTAGAGCATGACCACACAACACACCTGAAAATTCAAATAATTTGCAACTACAAGAAAGTACCTTTGTTGACTGCTTCACAACTACTGCATGTTCCCTGCCACTTTCATGTGTGCTAACATTGTATTTATGAAAATCTACTTCATCATGAAAGCCATTTATTGAAACAAGTAATGACTTTTCCCATTGCTTCTCGAACAAATTAAATATGGTTGCGGTATATATATATATATCTTACATGAATCAATAAAGGAATCTTAACCTTTAAGACAGACATTTGTTGGGTCATGTCAAAATTTGACTTGCTTTCATTAGCACGCTTATCATCAATAGTTCTTTGAAAATGCTTAAAGAATTGTACAATATCTAAATCAAATTTCAAGTAGCTCCCCCTTAGTGAACCGTTGAAACTTTCACTCAGTTGTGTACTTTGCATACCAGCTGAAAATATATTTCTACCATATGCCATGCCATTTTTCCCTTATAGCAAAGGTGTTTTTCAACCAATTATTATCCTTAAGATCGTATTTTTCAAGAATTTCTTCCCATGCATTAAGAAAATCTGCTTCATACTCGTAATCAAAAAAATAATTTGCTAAACTCACTTGAAAATAATTTATGAGCTCTAAAGATATGGTTAAGATGTTTACATGCGTTCTGTCCCAAGTGCCATATACATAGACGGTGATATGTTTGTCGCATCACTAATGAGACTGCTAAACTAATTGCAGGATCTTAATCTGTGATGAATGTTTGTGGCTTACCTGCCGACATAGCTCTAAAAAATACATAAAAAGCCATTCAAATGCTTCAGTTGTTTCTTCATATAAAAGGGCAGCACCAAATACAACCATCTCCCTATGATTATTTAATCTAACAAACAACGCCAATGGACGATAGTCATTATTTGTTCTATATGTTGTGTCAAACGATACAACTTCTCCATAAATCTAAAAATCCCTTATCATTTTAGCATCAGCCCAGAAAATATTTGTTATCAAACCATCGACATCTAAATGTAAAGAAAATCGAAAATAAGAATCTTTTATTACTCTTTCTTCGATATAATTTATCAAACTACGAGCCACGCCATACTATAGACTTTCTTTTCTTTTATCTCGAAGATAATTTATTTTTGTGTCTCTCTTTGTAAAACCTAAAGAAGCTTCCCCCCCCCCCCCCCCCCCGCGTTTGACGAGCAACATATTCAAAAGAAGATTTAGGACATATTCCCGAATCATCCAATAAATCAATTTCATGTGCTTGAGAAAGTTTAACATTTCTTTGTGATGGTAACAAGTGAGATAGAGATGGATGAACAAGTGGATGATTGTGCTTCTCTTCAAATGAAATGAAAGAAAAGTTTCCATTTGGTTGACGACTTATGACCATATGAGCTAAACAACCCGTCCTTATTTTCTTTCTAAGTTTCTTGACCAGCATATCTCGCTTGTCTAGTGCTCTGTAACCTTTTTTATAACATGTAATTTTTCTTGAAGTCACGTATCCATGAATTTTACTTTTGTTAGCATATTCCTATCTAACATAAAACCAATTCTAGCAGCATATTAATTATAATATTCAAATCCATAATCATATGAATCAAATTTCATTCCTAATTTTATTGGCAAATGAATGAGAAATATTCATATTCTCATTCTGAGGCACAGTCTCCAAGGATCTACCACGAAAAAAGAATAAAGTAAGAAATATGTCCCATTGTGTTTGACAAACTGATACATTCGATTAACTCACATTGTGTTTGACAGATTTATAAGACTTTCAAATCTCATTTCAGTTACTAGCTAACTAAAACGGGCAATCCACATTTAACTGTAATTGATGTCAAATAGAAATTTTAATATTTCCAACAAAAAAGAATATCAAAGTCAAGTCTTCGTAGCCCAAAAAGTTCATTGGGGAATTTTCACAAACACATAGTGTGTAATTTTTCTACCTATCAATTACCACAATAGAAACATACAAATAATAAGTATTTGATTTCTACATAAATGAAAATAGATCAAAAAGAACCTGACGATGATAGTTAGTTTAAATCCAGCAAAAGAAAAGTTATGCGTCTTGTTCTCTTGCTCTCTGTTTTTTTTTTCTTCTTCCCTGTGTTCTTTCTATTGATTTTCCTTCTCAAAATATGCAAGATATCTTGTGCATCCATAATTTTAAGTGTTGCAAAATGACAACAAAGAAATTTTTGGAGGGAACGGGGAGAAAAGAGAAACAATCGGACTTGGAGGGAATAAGGAGAAAAAGAAAGAAATAATAGGACTATTTTTAATTAATATAATAATATATTTATTATCTAAATCATGGTTAGATTTATATTTTAACTAATTAAATCTTAGCCATTAAATTTAATCTACACCACATGTCATTAATCAAGGCTAGAACTTGGGGAAAATGGAGACGAAGAAAATGGAGAGGAGCCGGATCCTATATTTTATACTCATCCTATACTTCATTATTTAAAGTATTAATTTGTCATTTATAATAAACAAATAAACATCATGATATTAATTCAATTATTTTATGATAGTTTTCATCATGTCAAATTTGTCAAAACTTGATTTTGTGGCACTTGACATTTCTCGAAAGAACTATTTGTCATGGGTACTTGATGCTGAAATTCACTTTACCGCTAAGGGTCTTGGTGATAGTATAATTGAAGGGAATAAGGCATCAAAGTCAAGATAAATCAAAGGTTATGATTTTACTTCGTCATCATCTTGATGAAAGCCTGAAGGTTGAATACTTGACAGTAAAAGATCCACTTGAATTGTGGATAGGTTTGAAATTGAGGTATGAACACCTCAAGGCAACAATATTGCCAAGAGCTCGTTATGAGTGGATGCACTTACGATTTCAAGATTATAAAACTATAATTGAGTATAACTCTGCTATATTTAGAATCACTTCCAAATTAAAATTATGTGGGGAAACTATAAAAAATGAGGACATGTCGGAAAAAACACTAACTACTTTCCATGCCTCCAATATGATATTACAACAACAATACTTCCATGGTTTTAAAAAATACTATGAATTAATCTCATGCCTTCTGATGGATGAGTAGCATAATGACCTTTTAATGTTCATCCCGCTAGAAGTGCTCCATTATCGGAGGCACACGGGATAGAAGCACACGGCCAATCTAAAATAAGACAAAATAATCGGGGCCATAATAATGTGCACGGGAGTAGCAAAGACAAAATACGATATAATAATCTTCGAGGTGGTGGTCATAACAAAAGAGAAAACAATATAGGTTCTCAAAATAATCCTTCTAAAGGAAAGGGCGATCACTGTCATCGTTGTAGCCTTAAAGGTCATTGAAAAAATGAATGTCAGGCACCTCATGAGCATTTTGTCAAGCTGTATCAAAATTCCTTTAAAAGGAAAAGAAATAAAGGTGGTGCCTCCTCTTCTAATACCCGGGTGGAGTCACATTTGACTCTCAAAGATGATGCTAAGGCAAGGTCTTCTCAAAAATATTATGAGAATGTTGAGGCAGATTTAGCATTGAAAGATGATATTTTTGATGGTCTCGATGATATTACTCATCTAGAAGCTGAGGACTTCTTTGGGGATCTCAACTGAAGATTTATAATTGAACTGGAAATGAATAATGTTGTTATGTGTTTTTAATGTCTTAGTTAAAGTTCACGTACTTAAATTTTCTTTTGTTAAGTTTCGTACTTCTTATTATGTATTTTTATTTTTATGAAGATAAAAAAAAATTACAGTCCTCAATTGGATCCAAGATGAGTAATGGAGATATGTGCCTTCTAGACAGTGTCACAACTCATACAATACTAAGAGAAAAGAAATATTTCTCTCATTTGATTATGAAAATGACATGTTAATACAATATCCGGTAGTACAAAATTGATTAAGGGCTCTGGGAGAGTGACCTTATTACTACCTGGAGGAACATTATTGGTAATCAATAATGCATTGTATTGTAGTAAGTCTCAAAGAAATTTGTTAAGTTTCAAGGTTATTCTCCAAAATGGCTATCAAGTTGAGACTGCAAATGAGGGAAATGTGGAATACCTTGATATTACTACGATAAATGCGGAGAAGAAAACTATGCATGAAAAATTGCATGCACTTTCTTCTGGGTTGTACCATACAAATATTGGTACGGTTGAATCACATGTCGTGGTAAACAAAAGGTTTACTGGTTCTAATGATTTTATCATTTGGCATGACCGGTTGTGCCATCTCGATTATAATATGATGCGCAAAATAATTGAGAATTCACATGGGCATACTTTGAAGAACCAAAATGTTCTTCAATCAAAGAAATACTCTTGTGATGCTTGTTCTCAAGGAAAGTTGGTTATCAAACCATCAGTGGCTAAGGTTCAGATGGAATCCTCTACATTTCTAGAACGGATACAGGGTGATATATGTGGACCTATTCACCCTGTAAGTGGACCTTTTAAATATTATATGGTCTTGATAGATGCATCTACAAGATGGTCACATGTGTGCTTATTGTCAACTCACAATATGGCTTTTGCAAGGTTGTTGGCTCAAATAATAAGGATAAAAACACAATTTCCAGATTAAACAATAAAAACAATTCGTCTTGATAATGCTGGTGAGTTTACATCTCAGGTATTTAATGATTATTGTTTGTCCACTGGAATAATAGTTGAACATCTCGTTGCACATGTTCATACTCGGTTTAGCAGAGTCATTGATTAAACGTCTTCAATTGATATCTAGACCATTGTTGATGAGGACAAAGTTGCATGTTTCAGTATGGGGACATGCTATTTTGCATGCAACAACACTTGTGCGCATAAGGCCAACCAGTTATCATGATATCCCCATTACAAATGGTTTTTGGTCAGAATCCAAAAATTTCCCATCTTAGAATCTTTGGTTGTGCGGTATATGTTCCAATTGCTCCACCACAATGCACAAAGATGGGTCCCCAAAGAAGGTTGGGGATATATGTTAGATATGAATCTCGTTCTATTATAAAATATTTGGAACCTAAAACTGGAGATTTATTTACGGCAAGGTTTGTTGATTGTCATTTTGATGAATCAGTATACCCAACATTAGGGGGAGAACAAAAACAGTTGGGAAATGAGATAGATTGGAATTCACTTTCACTGTCTCATTTAGATCCTCGAACAAATCAATGTGAGCAAGAAGTTCAAAAGTTGATTTATTTGAAGAATATTGCAAATCAACTACCGGATGCATTTACTAACCTTCCATGGGTTACTAAATCATATATCCCAGCTGCTAATGCTCAAGTTCGAGTTGATGTCCCGATAGGACAAAATGTTAAGGTGATACACTCAAATTACACCTCCCTAAAGAAGTATAAGCGATCGTTGTCAAATAAAGAACCCAACTTGTAGGTTGGGGTCGATCCCACGAGGAATATGGTTCAGACTTAAACTTAACTCACTATTATTTCTGTTTAGTCAAACTATTTCCAAGAAGAGTAAACATGGGGTTTTGTATCTAAAATAACATATTGTTGATTAAGTAACAAGTAAACAAGATTTAAACTTTGAGTTATCAATATGAGAGAGAAACTAGGGTATATGTGTTCCCCACAAGCTCGTAACACAATAATCCTAATAATAGTAATCATTCCAAGTGTTTTACATGCAAAGTTGGTAAGTTAGGTATCCATAAGTGATTGGTCCTCCAAGTTGGGAATTTCACCACGCACCTTGGTCCGGCTACGGGTGTATGCTTTACTAACCCTTACCTTTACCTCAAATTAGTCATCATATCAATGTATGGCTTAGTATTCACCGTCACTCCAATTGACACTAGACTATTAGATAGCATCCACCAAATCTCTGTTGTTTAATCCTTTTCTCATTCATTACCTCTTTGGTCCAGCAAATAGGAATGAGTCGAGTTCTAACGTTTACAACCGTTAAAAATACTTCTAAATGAAAGGATTAACAATACATGCATAAACACTATTCAAGAATTACTATTCATACTTTGTTAATTGCTCATGGTTTCCACAACCCTAGTTGTGGATTTAGCTACTCATGCTTGAGAGATCACAATTCATAATTGGATAAAAAGAATTCATGAACTTACAAGAAGAATTGATGAAACCCGAAATCCTCAATTGAATTTCAAAGAG